CTCAGCTGATTGTGGGAGGGTTTTTCCCCCTCCTCTCAGCTGATCGTCAGAGGCTTTTTCCCCCTCCTCTCAGCTGATCGTCGGAGGCTTTTTTCCCTCCTCTCAGCTGATCGTTGGAGGCTTTTTCCCCCTCCTCTAAGCTGATTGTCGGAGGCTTTTTTCCTTCCTCTCAGCTGATTGTCGGAGGCTTTTTTCCCTCCTCTCAGCTGATTGTCGGAGGCTTTTTTTTACTATCAGTTTGGGCAAACCGCTAGCAATTTTTGCTACCTGTTTCGGCTGAACTGGGCCAAACCAGTAGCATATCACCACTGATGTGGAGGTTCTGAGAAAATGCCTCCCACTACCATCACCAATCACTGGTTCCTGGAGTGGGAGAGCTGAACTGAACAGAAGGATCAGCTGGGAGGGGTAGCACAGTTAAGGGGGCGACGGCGGCGGTGGGGTGGCCGCGTTGGGGTGGATCACACATGCATGTGCAGGGGGATGGGGGCACGTGGGCATTGCCTTATGGGTGCTGGCACGTGAGCCCAGAAACTAAAACTAAACTAAATGGTGGTTTATTTGATCATAAACCAGTCTTCTGCTGACTGAGCAGAGAACCATTTCCCGGGCTTCACTCACTTCCCCGGCTGTTTTTTGTCTGCTCGTCCAACAATCTGAGTTAGCTGCAAAACTCAATGGCTCCTGTCTTCCATACCTTTTGCTCCAGATGTGCTCTGCGCAAGGAGACCCTCTGCTCCAACTTCTGGAGCTCCCGTTCGTGCTGTGCTTCTGTCTGCATCTTGATTTTGCTCTGGTAGGCGTTGAGCAGCTCCATCTCTTGCTGCAGTTGCAGCCTCAAGGCTTGGCATTCTGCTTCCTGAGCCTCGTCTAGCCGCAGCTGCAAGGAAGCACATCAAGAGCGTCAAGGGAAGGACGCTCGTTGGTCACCTCCTTTTTACGACCCCTGTAATCCCCCGGCGGGATGATGGAGTCTGGGAAACTGAACGGAGCAGAGTATTTACGGGCCAGATGCCTTTCCTGTCGTCTTGAGACATCTTGAGCTTTGACGGAGGTCCACTACCGCTAGGCTTGTATATTTGGAAGAAAGAATTTTGCTATTTGAGGGGTTTCTTGGGGCTCTCTGAGTTTGCTTCTTTTCTTGCAGGCGCACTGATGATGTTACCTAGTTTGGGTCATGAAATCTCTGCAAGGAAACAACCAAGCTCAGAGAGCACTCAGGGTTGACCTGAGGGAGCCCTCAGGTCAACCCTGAGCTACAAATCATCATCTTTTAACGACCCCATCATCCCCTTGCAGGATGGAGTCTGGGCAACTGAATTGAGAGCTAGCAGAGGGTTTCTTGGCCGGATACCCTTCCTGTCACTGATCTGGAGTTTTGTTCGGCAGATATATTCTCATGGTGCCCCAAGAGAGAAATATCTGTCTTTATCTGGGATTGAACTCACAGCCTCCGGACTGTGAGGCAAGAACTCCACCTCTAGGCCACTGCACCACTTTAAGGACGCTCATTGTCAGTTGGGGCAAATCACCAACTGATATACGCTTGTATCAGAACTGTCTTCCTATCTTGTGGGAAGGACCAGGGTTGGCAACTATGCTTTCGTGGTCTCCACCTGCAGAAAAGGCATCTTTTTAAAAATAAAAATAAAAAATCAGCCTCAAAATTTTCAGATCTTCAGAGGTTTCCATCATGACGGATTTAAAAGATATGGAATTGGGTCAGAGGGGCCACCTTAGAGTCCCAGTCAATTCCCAAGATATTCTGTAGGTCTAATACAGTTTGGTCTAATGGTTCATGGAGCTGATCAGGAGACAGTAAGTTCTAGTCTCGCGTGAGGCACAAAAGCTGACTGGGTGACTTTGGGCCGATCGCCAGGAGAAGGTGAATTCTAGCTCTGCCTTAGGCATGAAAATCGTCTGGGGGGGGGACTTTGGGCCAATCGCCAGGAGATGGTGAGTTATAGTTCCACCTTAGGCACAAGAGCTGACTGGGTGACTTTAGGCCGATCACCAAGAGATTATAAATTTTAATCCCTCCTTAGGCATGAAACCTAGCTGGGTGAATTTGGGTCAATCACCAGGTGATAGAGATTTCTAGTCCCACCTTAGGCATGAAAGCTTTCTGAGTGACTTTGGGGTAATCACTAGGTGACAGTGAGTTCTAGTGCCACCTTAGACATGAAAGCTGGCTGGGTGACTTTGGGCCAATCACTAGGTGACAGTGAGTTTTAGTACCACCTTAGACATGAAAGCTGGCTGGGTGACTTTGGGCCAATCACTAGGTGACAGTGAGTTCTAGTGCCACCTTAGACACGAAAGCTGGCTGGGTGACTTTGGGCCAATCACTAGGTGACAGTGAGTTCTAGTACCACCTTAGACACGAAAGCTCTCTGGGTGACTTTGGGCCAATCACTAGGTGACAGTGAGTTCTAGTACCACCTTAGACACGAAAGCTCTCTGGGTGACTTTGGGCCAATCTCTAGGTGACAGTGAGTTCTAGTACCATCTTAGATACGAAAGTTGGCTGGGTGACTTTGGGCCAATCACTAGGTGACAGTGAGTTCTAGTGCCACCTTAGACACGAAAGCTCTCTGGGTGACTTTGGGCCAGTCCCTCTCTTTCTGCCCAGCCCACCTCACAGGGTCGTTGTGGTGGGGAAAATAGGAGGAAGAACATATTAAGTATGTCCACTATCTTGCGTGACTTATAAACGCTAATAAAGGTGGAATTAAAAACAATTCAATTATTCCAACCCGTCTTTTATTTTACTCCTTTTCTAGGGCGGGGAGCCCTCCTTCCCCAGGGACTGGAGACCCCACCCCCACCGCACCCCACCCCCTCTCTCTTACCGCTTGCGACGCCATCATCTCATTGATGCTCTGCTCATACTGTTCCGCCAGGATGGCCAACTTCCGCGTCTGCTCATCCTTCAGGCTTTTCAAAATAGTTTTGTGCTCACTCTTTGGAGTCACTTCCAGCTGGTGATTCTTGAGCGCTTTGTACTGCTTGGTTTGCACTTTGCACGTGTCTTGGAACTGCTTCTTGATCTGCATTTCCATGGCCTGCGGAGGAGGAGGAGCGAGGAGAAGCAAAACCGACAAAGGAGCCGTTTTTAAAGGCTCCCGCTGCGTGCTGAACGTGGGTTTCAATTTAAACGGCAGGGAGCATTTTTCAGGACGGAGGAAAAAAATTAAGGCCCGATGGATCACAGCCTTAATAGTCGGCTACGTGTAGCCGTAATAATGTTAGAATGAACTGAGTAAGAAAGTTGGAAGGGACCTTGCAGGGGACCCTCTGCCATTTTAGACAAGTGGCTGTCCAACCTCTTTTTAAAAACATCTAGTGATAAGGAGAGGAGGGGAGGGGAGGGGAAAGGAAAGGAAAGGGGAAGAGAAAGAGAAGGGGAAAGGAAAGGGGAAGAGAAAGGAAAGAAAAGGGGAAGAGAAAGGAAAGGAAAGGAGAAGAGAAAGGAAAGGGGAAAGGAAAGGGGAAGAAAAAGAGGAAAGGGGAAGAGAAAGGAAAGGGGAAAGAGGAAGGGAAAGGAAAGGAAAGGGGAAGAGAAAGAGGAAAGGGGAAGAGGAAGGAAAGTGGAAAGAGGAAGGGAAAGGAAAGGAAAGGAGAAGAGAAATGAAAGAAAAGGGGAAGAGAAAGGAAAGAAAAGGGGAAGAGAAAGGAAAGGAAAGGGGAAGAGAAAGGAAAGGGGAAAGAGGAAGGGAAGGGGAGGAAAGGAATAGCCCAATAGCAGACAGGAGAGTAACAGAGTTGGAAGGGCCCTTGGGAGGTCCTCTAGTCCCGTCCCCTGCTCGAGCAGAAGACCCTATACCATTAAAACAAGTGGCTGTCCAGTCCCCACTGGTGAATATTAGAAGAATTATTATCTATGCCTATGTTAGAAGAATTTCCCCAGACTGCTTGCCTTCCCCCTCAGGGAACGACCAGATAAGGCTTCCTGGATCTTAGGTGAAGTCAAGCTAATTGGCCACTTGCAGCTACGCAACCGATTCCAAGCTAGGTCCCCACTTGATGCCTCCTTCCACCTTAACTGGCAGTTTCCTAACTTCAGGCTCCAGAAGGGTCACCTGAGTCTTCCTGGGCTGGGCTCCCACCCTCATTCCCCTCGACTACCTTCAAATTCTTGGGCTGTTGCCGCAACTCCATGACGTGCTTCCTGTGCAGCTCTCGTTCCCGCCGTTTGTTATACTCCAGCTGGTTTTCAAGTTCCGTCTGGTGCTGCAGCCGGATCAAGTCCATACGCAGCTTCTGCAGCAAGTGCAGCTGCCGGTATTCTAACTCCCGCGTCGACTCGTCGTGCCGTATTAGCATGGCATGTTCCATCTCTTTCTGGGTTCTCTTCTTGTTCAACTCCTGCATCCAGGGGGGAGCAAGGAACAGAGGTGAGGATAACCCTTCTTCGCGTGGTCTGTGAGAACGACCTTGGGGGACAGAGGGAAGACCCACAGCCAGGGGAATGGAGGGATAAGAGGCTGCTAAGCCCAGGGCGGAAAATGGGGTGTAGCAAATGTCTCCAAAGAGACCCTCTTTAGCTTATTGACTGTAAAGGCAACTGTAGAAAAATGGCCTTACAAAGTCCTGTTAAGGTAACCTTACAACAACGAGCTAATATCTCTCGGTGTGCTTCCTGACTGGACTACCTCTCAAGGTTGATGTCAACTCAAAAATATTTCTCTGTTTTTTTAGAGTTGCCAGCAGAAAGGGAGTGAAGGAAGTAGAGCATTCCTTAAATACTTCATAGATCAATTTCTAGGCGGCCGAAGCTTCTGGCGCACAAGATTATTACTGGAGAGCCTGATTGAGGACTTTTGGCTATGGATGTGTCCCATTGGAGAATATCCATCCAGGAGGTGGGGGAAGACCAGTGTCAAGGGTGAAATGAATGATGTGTTTAGTGTGGGCTGCACTGAACACTGACATGGTCACTCCTAATAAAGCTTTAAACTCTGAGTGATGCGGCTAGAGACTCATGATTTAAATGCGGCTGGATATTGGAGCCCTGACAACTGACACTTCCTAAGGAGACAGACAGAGAGCTTGCCCTTCACTCAAAGCAAAAACAATAGATCATTGTTGTCAAGCTTGGGAAAATCAGGAAGCCCAGGTGGTTTAAAATGAATATGAAGGTTTGCTGCCAGCTCTTGTACTCTACAAGAATCTGAGCTACTAATGTTCAAATAGAACATGTGTCAATGGAATTCAAGGAGGGCTGGACTTTGATCACTTGCGGGCACGAAGGGATTCCAAGCTGATGGCCTGTTTGACTCCTCCCTCGGGCTCCGCCTGGTCATCTCCAACAACAGGTTTATTTTATGCCAGGTTTCAACAAGAATCAGAACTCCTAACGGTCAAAGCAAACTGGCGGTAGATAAAAGTCAGCAGAATTCAAGGTGAGCTGGACGTAGATCTCTTGTGGGTGCACAGGGAGCCAAGACTAATGGCACATTTGACCTCTCCCACAATTTCCCACAATTCTCTCCAAGCACAGCCAGAGAGAGGACTTGCAAACCCATGGGGTCAAGGCGCTTGTCCTTCCTCATGTACTATATGACTCCCAAGATCTGCAGTCAAAGGTTTTGGAGGTTCTCCTGAGACAGTGCAGCAAATAGACCTTTTTCTCCCTCATTAAAAGATTTTTTGGGGGTGCCTTCCGGTCAGTCTTGACTCCTGGTGTCTACTTGGACAAATTCCAGAAGTTTTGTTGGCTATATTTTTTTTAACAATGGCTTGCCTCCAGCCTTCTTCTTCCCAGGGCTGAAAGACAAGGATTGGCCCCAGGTCAGCAAGTTGGCCTCATGTCTGAAAGACATCTGGACCTCACATTTCCGCAGTCCTAGTCCAGCCCTCTTAATCAGTAGACCAAACTGTCTCTTCCCATTAAACTAGACCAGTGCTTCTCAACCGTAGCAACTCTAAGAGGTGTGAACTTCAATTCCCAGAATTCCACAGCTGGCCATGCTGATAATTCTAGTAGTTGGAAGTCCACTCACCTTAGATGTCTATAGAGATCATGGCTGTCCCAGAGGTGCTTTTTAAAAAGGCAACTAGACTTTCTTTGTTTTTTTCTTGAAGATGTTTCACTTCTTATCCAAGAACTGAAGAAGCTTCTTGGATGAAAAGCGAAACTTCTTCAAGGGAAAAAAAAACCAAGAAAGTCTAGTTGCCTTTTTAAAAAGCACCTTTGGGATACCTACCTCAAGGTTGAAAAATCTTGAAGTAGACCTTCCTAAAATAAGACACCTTGGCTTCATCTCCCAAAAAGAATTCCAGAACTTTTCTGCATCCTGGTGGCCAAGTTTCCTGCCGCAGTCTTGCCGAGACAAACCAAACATCCTGCAGACATGAATCTGAGCATCGAAGCCAAAACCTTTGGGGGTCTTAGGGTGTATTTCTCAAAAAGGTCCAGCAGATGGCACACGAGCAAATGTGCGTGACAACCAGGGGTCTTCGATGCTCTCAGAACATGGTGGCTTCCTTGAAGATGCTTCGTTAACAAACTAGGTTACATTGTCAGTCTACTGTTGAGTTTGGTAATAAAACATCTTCAAGGAAACAGACAGGCTCAGAAAGCATCAAGGAAAGACCCCTCAGTCTATTCCTCCTGCTCCTCCCTTCCAGTACTGAAGATAATATCCCACTCCTTCCAGTACTGATGATGCTACCTAGTTAGGTAATGAAACGTCTGCAAGAAAACAAGCAAGCTCAAGAGAGCGCCAAGGACCCTATAGTCCTCCTCCTCTTCCCTTTCTTCTTCTTTTGCATTCTGCAAACCCCGCTCCCTTCTAGCACTGAGGACATTACCTAGTTGGGTAGTGAAATGTCTGCAAGAAAACCATCAAGCTCAGAGAGCACCGAGGAACCCACAGTTCAACCCTAAGATGCAAATATTCTAAATATATGTGGTCCTAAATTGAGGACTATCTGCTTCTTCTCCTCCTCCTCTTCCTCCTCTTCTCTGCAAACCCCACATCCTTCTAGCACTGACGATGTCACCAAGTTTTCTAATGAAACGTCTGCAAGAAACAAGAGACAACGAGGACACACACCACGGTCCTTCTCTTCCTCCTCCTCTTCATCTCTGCAAACCCCACTCCCTTCCAGAACTGATGACGTTACCAAGTTGGGTCATGAAACGTCTGCAAGGAAACCACCAAGCTCAGAGAGCGCCAAGGTTCCCCTCCTGTCAACCCTGAGCTACAGCTATTCTCCTTTATCGGTAGGCGTTAAACTTTCAGCTCTTTCCACCAAAAAAAATGACATCCGTGCTCCACATCTCAACCTATCACAAATCACTTAAAACAGAAAGTACAGAGTTGAAATATTTAGGAGAACGTGACGAAAAACCATTTTTGGGAAGGACCTTGAGGTTCCTGGTTTTGCTCCAAAGCCTTCCTCCATTTCCCTCCCTCTTGGGAACTTTGATTTAGCGTATTTTTCGGAGTATAAGATGCTCTGAAGTATAAGACGCACCTAGTTTTTAGGGAGGAAGAGAAGGGGCATTTGCCTCCTTGGACCAAACAGCCATCTTCCGCACAGCCTGATTAGCACAAGTAGTTGATTGTCCATTGGATCGGCCTCCTGACAATCAGCTGTTTTTAGGCTGTAGGGATTGCCATTGCTTATTGCTGCCTCTGCGCACCCCCAATGGGACATTTCGGCTTCCGCATGTCCCATTTTCCGTCCGTGGAACGGGTGGAAAACAGGGGGTGGTGGTGGCGTGGAGGCTGAAAATGGGATGCAGAGGCTGAAAAGGGAGCGCATGGAGGCAACAATAGGCAATGGCCATCCCTGCAGCCTGGCAACAGCTGATTGTTGGGAGGCCGATTTAACCAACAATCAGCTGCTTGTGCTAATCAGGCTGTGCTGAAGCTGGCTGTTTGGCGCAAGGAGGCAAATGACTGGGAGGCAGAGGCAGATCCCCCCCCCCTTCTTTTCCTCCTCAAAATCTAGGTGCATCTTATACTTTGGAGCGTCATGTTGGCTGGGGGACTCCGGGAGTTGAAGTCCCCAAGTCTTAAAGGGGCCAAAGTTGGAGATCTCTGGTGTAGAACCTTCTAAAGAGGATTTATTTTGGGGGGTGGGGGGGGATGCTGACCCTATCTATTTGGATTTGCTCAGTATTGCCCTCTTGCATGTAGTTTTGGGGGACGTGGGGGGAAGGGGGGGGAGGCAAAGGCTAAAAGCAGAGACCTCACGAATATTCTGCTGCTCCAACTCATGCCTTCGGATCATCGTTTTCCGCTTGAAGAAACGGCAGTTTTTGTCGTAGTAGAGTCTCTGCTGGCTGAGAAGATGCGCCTCTTCTTCAGCCTGTGTGTGCTGCAGGTTTTCTTTGTGTTTGGAGATCCTTTCCTGCTTCTCCTTCTTGGGTGTGCTGTGGTCCTCGTTCATCTCCTACAGGGAGGCCAGGAGACCAAAGGGGGGCGGGGAAGGCGTTGAGCAAAAGGCAACGGGGTACAGCAGAAAGAAAACAGGCACTGCGTCCAACTTCTCTTTGGGGAAGCGCCATGGTCCTCCTCTAATCTCCCCCTCTAGGAGGGTCTAAGTGGGCTGAAACCCCACTCCCTTCTAACCCTGATGATGTTACTTGGCTAGGTAATGAAACGTCTGCAAGGAAACAACCAAGCTCAGAAGGCACCAAGGACCCCATAGTCCTTCTCCTCCTCCTTTTCCACTTTCCTTTCTCTTCCCCTTCTCCCCTCCTCTTCCCTTTCCCCCTCCTCCTTTTCTCCTTCCCCCTCCTCTTCTCCTTTTCAATTTCCCTTTCTCCCTCCTCCTCTTCCCCTTCCCCCTCCTTCCTCTTCCTCCTCTTCTCCTTTTCCCCTTCCCTTTCTCCCCTCCTCTTCCCCTTCCCCTTTCCTTCTTTCCCTCCTCCTTCCCTTTTTCCCTCCTCCTCCTCCCCTTCTCCCCTCCCTTCCTCTTCCCTTTCTCCCCTCCTTCCTCTTCCTCCTCTTCTCCTTTTCCCCTTCCACTTTCCTTCTTTCCCTTCTCCTTCCCTTTCTCCCTCCTCCTCCTCCTCCCCTTTCTCCCCTCCTTTTCCCCTTCACCCTCTTCTTCTCCTTTTCCACTTCCCTTTCTCGCCCCCCTCCTCTACCCATTCCCCTCCCTTTCTCCTCCCTCCTCCCCCTCCCCTTCCCCATGATGGCATGTCATTCTGGAGGTAGTTAATGGGATGAGATGAGAGCCCCCCGACCTCCTCCCCAAGTTTATTTGGCTCCTTCACCTTCCCCAGATCTGGAGAGCGTCTCCTTGCCTCTTTAATCTTTTCTTTGCAAATCTTGTATTGCTTCTTCTGACTTTCTAAGAAATTGGTCAGATCCCTCTTTTGCTGAGCCAAAATCTGTTGCTGGAACTTCTTCTCGTCCGCTGCCGCTGTCTTTGCCTGTGAAGAAGGAAAAAGAAGAAAAAGAAAGGCTTTTTAACATTTCAAACCGACCCACGTTTTCACAAAGACTCTCATTTAGGGCAGGGGTCACCAACCACCGGTCCCTGGACTGGTACCGGTCCGTGGAACAATTTCTACCGGGCCGCCGGTTCGCTGGGTGCCACCCTCTTGTTTTGATGAAAAAGTGCTTCCGGTGAGCTTTTCCGGGTAGAAAGCGGCGTTTGGGTGCTGAAAGAATCCTCGCGCCTTAGTTTCATCGAGCGGGGGGCGGCTTCGAACAAAACTAAGGCGCAAGGATTCTTTCAGCACGCATGGCAAGGCGAGCCGAGCGACCGTCCCGAAGCCGTCGCGAAGCCCATCGACACAGGTACAGAGGAGGAGTTGAAGGTGGCGGGGAGAAGCGGGGGACAGCTGGCTGGCCGGTCGCTCGGCTCGTCTTACCATGCGTGCTGATGCCGGTACCGGGCCGCGGATGATTTTGTGATGCCGGTACCGGGCCGCGGCACAAAAAAGGTTGGGGACCACTGATTTAGGGGATGGAAGGCTAAAACATAGGAGAAAAGGTTGCAGGAATTTGGGTACAGCTGGTCTAGAGAAAAGAAGGAGAAGGGGTGTCATGATAGCAGTCTTCCGGGTTTGTTCGTTTTTTCCCCTGTTCTGCTGTTTCGTTTTTATGGCTGTCATCCACCTAGAGTCTTTCCATCTTTCTGTTTTATATAGGCGCTCGAGTGACGTGTAATGATGGTATACAACGTGTCAAGCCAGAAGTGAGCCTTAACTGAGGCCATCTTGGAGGCTTTGGGGTTGCCATACAACAGAGGGAAGGAGGGAAATAGTTAGATGGGGTTTTGTAACCGAAACAATAAAGTTTTCCTGTCGGAACCAAGGACATGCTCACAGGTGGCTGGCCAGAGGAGGAAGGAAGTAACCAAGCAACCGGCCAGCACCTGGATACGACAAGCAACCAGTGACTTGGGGCGAAAGGGGAAAATCGTTTACTCTTTAATGAGGTGAAAGCCGTGGGGACTTTTAGAGTCGGTTTTCACCAGTTGGTGCCAAGAGGATGTATCCAATAAAACTGTTCTTTGAGGAAACTTGCCTGCCTCGGAGGTCTAATTTCTAGGGGTGCATTACTTGGAACGCTTACGCAATGTTTTAAAACCTGCAATTTATAAACACCCCATTTAAATAAAAAAAAACACCCGTCTTTTGGGGGGGGAGGGAGCCATCACAAAGAAGGCCCTATTTCTGGGTCCGACCAGATGTGTGTTTCCCGTGATAGTGAAGGAAATACTTGTATACCAAGGAAGCATATGAAGAATGAGTGCAGGAAATGGACAGGGATAGTTTAATGAAAAGAAAGGCTAGGGTGGGGACATGATAGCAGTGTCCCAGTATTTGAGGGGCTGGCCCAAAGAAGAAAGGGTCAACCTATCATCCAAAGCACTAGAAGGGCAGGACAAGAAGCAACAAGGTAGAAACTAACCAAGGAGAAAAGCAACCTAGAACTGCCTCCAGAGGTTGTGGCTGCTTCCATCACTGGAGGCTTTTAAGAAGAGACTGGACGGCCATTTGTGTCTGAAAAAGGTCTCCTGCTTGAGCAAGGGGTTGGACTAGAGGACCTCCAAGGTTCCTTCCAGCTCTGTTATTCTGTTAATCAAGGAGATGTCTAACCTAAAACTAAGGAGAACTTTCCTGACTGTGAAAACAATCAACCTGTGGAACTGTTTGCCTCCAGAAATTGTGGTGCTCTGTCACTGGAGGCTTTTAAGAAGAGACTGGACAACCCTTTGTCTGAAATGCTATAGGGTTTCTTGCCTAAGCAGGGGGTTGGACTAGAAGACCTCCAAGGTCCCTTCCAACATCTGTGACTGTGAGAAAAATTCACCAGGGGAACGCCGGAAGTTGTGGGTGCTCCATCCCTGAAGCATTTTAAGAAGAGATTGGACAAATCACTTGTCTGAAATGGTAACAGGGTCCCCTGCGTGAGCAGGATGGGGTGGAATAGACGACCCCCAAGGTCCCTTCCAACTCTGCCATTCTGTTTTCTAGCCAAGCATTTGCAACTTACCAAACTGGATTTACCGGTTTTGGGGTTTTTTGCACTGGTTTCCACCCTTGCATTGTTTGAAACTTCTGGCTGCAAGTTTTCAACTTCCAATTCTGTGATTCTGTTCGTTTGGGAAGACCCTGCGTCATGCCCCAGTTGGAATCTGATTCCGAGGGAGAGGTGGAACAGCTGACAGCGGGTGGGAGTGTGGCTCTGGTGGCTGTGGAGGAAACTGGGGAAGGGCGCAGGCTGGCTGGGCATTCAGAGGAAGACCCAGGCCCACCCGCTTTTCATCCTAGGGCACGCAGGGAGGAACGGAGAAGGGATCAACGTGGTTTACGGGGGAGGAAAGGGCCCTGATCCCCTTCATGGGCTGCCGCTGGGAAGAATGTTTAAAAGGGCAAACTACACGTGGCAAAGTTGCTGGAAGCAAAGCGTGCATAATCTTTGTCGAGGCTTATCTGGGTTTTGCCGTCCTCCCAACTGTGTGTGCCTCATTATCTTTGGGAAGTCTGCAAGTTATTATCCTGGCCTGTCATGTTAATTACTTCAGTGTAGTTTGTGGGTTTTTTTTTTTAAAAAAATTCTACTTTATCTGTATTTTGGGTTCGGACTGCATTTCTTCCCTTTGTAGACTGTTTTCGGAAGAGTTTGATCTCCCGCCGAGGATAATTAGACATTGTGAGCCAAGTTGGAGGCATTAAAGGGAATTTATCTATTTTGGTGACTTTGTTATTTTTGTGCAACTCCCCGGGTCATCACACCCTGCCTTCCTTCTCAGGTAGGCCGGGGAGATGAAACTGGAGAGAGGTGATGTGTCAAACCACCTGCATCCCTGCCCCCAGGGGTTTCAAGGTGTTATGGAACTGGGTGGCCCTCTGAATCCCTCAGCCGCTAAGGCGGCCCATCCCGCCGGAGAACCTGGCTCACCTCCTTCTCTATGACGGCCACCTGTTTCTTGGCTAGCTTCTCCAGTTCAATGGACGAGTTGTTGGCATGGGTCTCCACCTCTTTCTGTAGCTTGAGGCGGTGTTCGTCCATTTCAGCCTTCAGCTTGTTCTCCAGGGCGATCAGCTGCTTCTGGTGCTGGCGCCGCATCCGTTTATATCCTGACATCTGTTCCCGCAACTCGTTCTCCTGCTCATGCTCATGGATCTGCCTTGTAACCTGAGGTCGGCCAAGGGGAGGGAAGAAGAAGAGTTAGTGCCTGCCCGGAGGAGAAAGGCCACCAAAGCTGATGCCCTGGGCTCTACAGCCAACTCGCCGCAGCTAACTCTCCACCGCCGACTCACCGTGGGACAACTGGCTGCAGCCAGCTTGCTGCAGCCACCTCACCATGGCCAACTTGCTATGGTCAACTCATCATGGGACAACTCATCACCACCAACTTGCGGCGGCCAACTTGCCATGGCCAACTCATCATGGGACAACTCTCCATGGTCAACTCTCCACGGCCAACTTCCCGCAGCCAACTCGCCACAGCCAACTTTCTGTAGCCAACTCATCATGGTCAACTCTCCATGGGACAACTTGCCGTGGTCAACTCTCCATGGTCAACTCACTACGGCCAACTTGCTATGGACAACCCATCGTGGGACAACCCACCATGGTCAACTCTCCATGACCAATTCACCATGGCCAACTTCCTGCGGCCAACTCACCATGGCCAACTTCCTGTGGCCAACTCACCATGGTCAACCCACCGTGGGACAACTTGCCATGGTCAACTCTCCATGGCCAACTCACTGCGGCCAACTCACCACAGGACAACTCGCCATGGCTAACTAGCTGCGGACATCTCACCAGGGCTACTTCTCCATGGTCAACTTACGGTGGGACAACTCATCACCACCAACTTGCTGCGGCCAACTCACCATGCGCCAACTCGCCATGGCCAACTCACTGCGGCCAACTCACCACAGGACAACTTGCCACAGCCAACTTGCTGTAACCACCTCACCAGGGCAACCTCACCATGGCCAACTGACCATAGATTGGTGTGGGAGGCAGAGGGAGAGAGGGAAAGAGAAAGGGGGGAGAGAGAGAGAGAGAAAGGAGGGAAGGAAGGAAGGAGGGAGGGAGGGAAGGAGAGAGAGAGAGGGAGAGAGAGAGAGAGAGAGAGAGAGAGAGAAAGAAAGAAAGAAAGAAAGAAAGAAAGAAAGAAAGAAAGAAAGAAAGAAAGAAAATCAGACCGAATTCCAAACCTAACATGGAAGGTAGTCCTCAATTAATGACCAGTCATTAGTGACTGTCCAAAGTTATGACAGAGTCCCCCCCAAAACTACTTAGGGCCAAGATTCAAACTTCCAGTGGGCAGCTCGGTTAGGACCTTTGTGGCTTTTGGAGAGTTCACGGTTGCCGACCCCTGCCCTAGATGTTGCATCCATCTCCAGGCCAAAGATGGGCAACCAAGTCCATCGTGGGCTCTTTGTAGCCCTGGACAACAACCAGAAGAGGCTTCAGATCCATGGGGGAAACTCGGCTTGGTTGCCTTGCTGGTCAGCTGGCCAGCACCACGGCGAACCGCGCGGCTGCTGTTCCAGTAGATCACCCCTGCTGCTAATAACAGCGAGAAACTGACAATCTGGTTCGGGAATGCTGGGAAGGAAGAGGAGGGTGGGGGGGAAAAACCCCAATGAGGTTTCCTACATCCCACGAAGCAGCTTCGCTTCAAATTGGCTGGTTTCGCGCGACGGGAGAGCCGCGACCTCAAGCAGGGGGACGAGACAGGAAGCGGGAAAGAAAAATCTCATTCCTTCCAGGAAATCCTTTTGACACTGCGGCTAAGAGGAAGGGGAAGGCGTGTGGGACAGAGAGGAAGGAGGTATATCTGTGCGTGTGTGTGTTGTGGGGGGACGACTGTTGGGGAACCACCCAACTCACAGCCAACGCAGCATTGGAAAGGCTACCCCACCTGTACTTTGCAGGGAGATGCAAAGCTCAACCCATGGAAATTTACTTAAGAAGTGAATCCCACTGTAGGCCGCGGAGGTTACTCTTTACACGAGGATGTGTGCAAAGATGGTTGCTTGGAAGATATTGCCTGGGTGCTGAATGAGGTGGGAAGGGAGGACGTTCCTGAATGATTAATCAGTGGAAGAGCTGCCCTGCAGAAGTATTCAAGATGGACAGTGATAGATTTGTCTGTCTGTCTGTCCGTCTATCCATCCACTCTATCTATTCATCAACTCTGTCTATCCACTCTATCCATCCACTCTATTTGTCCGTCCGTTCATCCATCCATCCATCATCTATCCATATACTCTATCTAACCATCTATCTATCTATCTATCTATCTATCTATCTATCTATCTATCTAT